ACTAAGATAGTAATCAAAAGTCGAAACTATTGAAACTGATAATATGAAAATTTTAGAGTAGGTTTTATCTTTTATGTGAGCACTCATCAAGAGATTGTTAGAAATGAATAAATACGTGTCTCAGCCTCGTTACAAAATCCATCTCTAAGGGGGTAAATAGGGAATGAATTATAGAAACTTTGAGGAAGGCTGCAGGTTTCCAAAAAAATCAGAACTGTCAATTTTTTCCCCAAATGTAAGATAATTCGGGAGTTTTCCAAAAATTCAAGACAATTATGAGGTTTTCTGAAGAACTTAAAGACAATCTATGGAGTTTTTGAAAATTACAAAGCATTTACAATATCTCTCAATAATTCGAGGATTGTTGAACAAATAATGGGAAAACAATTGATAGGAAATAAAACTGATTCGAAGCAGTCATGAAAGCCCGAATACTGCACTCTGATTAATTGAAATACGAAAGGAGGAAATAATTTGGTAATTCTTCGGATTTTCTCCACAATTCCACAAAAATTTTCAAGTTTCTTGAAAAAAAGTCATATAAATTTCGAAAGATTATAGAAAATTTGAAAAAATTTCAGATGATTCATNAAAAATTATGGACTGTGAGAAATTTGATAATTGTTGTTTTGCACTCTGAATATAATTTTGATTACAATATAGTAATTAAAATTTCATTCAATGAGGAAGGAAACTCAGAATTAGTGGATCACTTATTATAATATTGAAATTGAACAAGCAATGAACCGAGACGCATTGTTTTCATTAACTTTAACTCTCAATAGACTAAAACGACGATAAATCATTAATTTTCGAAAGAAACAAAAAAAGCAAAGGCATAATAAATGGGCATCAACGTTGCGGCCGCTTTCGGCCGCGGCGGCGCTAGTAGAATAAAAAATATGCCTGCGACTGCTGACAGTTTACCGCCGACTCGATAATTTAACACTGGCGCCATCTCGCGGCATTCTCCCATCTGAACTTCTTTACCACACAGCACACCATCAATAATTTCTCCTAATTATACAAAATAACCTATTAATGGGTATTAATTGGGACCAATTGTTTGTCTATCAGCATTTAAATAATTTTTTGATTATATTCCAATCATTTTTGGCCCATTTTTCGCCTTAAAATGACATCCATGCACATCCATGCTACATCCATGCTACAACATGGATCCTTATTCGCCAGGGAAGATGAATAACTTTTTGAGTAGTTACCATTTGTGAAATTGTACGGATCCATTCAGAAGCGTATTACCACAAGTAATACCACGAGAGCTTCAAAATCGAGCATTTCTCGATAGGTTCGTTGCAAACAAACGAAGTCAAGTTTTTCAGGTTAAAAAATCACAAGTGCGAAGCACGATAGTCCTTGATCGATACATATAATCATAGTAAAATACTTATTTTGTCGGACAAAAAGTGCGTGATAAACAGTACGTAATAACCCATTCACCACAATTTTGAAATTTGAATTTGAAAATAAAAACCAAATAATCATCGTTATGGGATCTATTTTATCGACGGCAGTTTGCCCTAGAAACCTTCTCCATCGGCTGTGGTTGCTGATTACTACTTCGTCACTCTCCTTTACCAACAAAATTGTCGGTAAAGAAATTCCACAGAGTGATGAACAAAAGAATTAGTATGTGGGATCTTACTATAGTGAGAGGATATAACCAAAACGATCAGAAGAAGATGGCGACGGATGTAAACATGATCAACATCAAAGTCGTATTTTTTTTGTGGATAAAATCACTAAACTGTTAGTTACTCGGTGTTCTGGCTGTTTCATCCTTTCTTTTTGATTAATTAATCATTTCATTAATTTAAAAGAAAAGAAAGTTGAGTTTCGGAAGAATTTATTGAAAGATGTTTTGGCTGTGGATTATTGCCTTATTGGCGAGTGCCGATTCCGCTGCTGCTTCGAATGGGTTCGATTTCGGTGACACTTTAGCATTAATTATTGGGCTTATTATTGGGATCGTCGGGTTTTTCGCGTGCATGGGGGCTTATGCACGGAGGAGGAGTCGATTTGATTCGATTTAAAGGTAGAGCTGGGGACATGTAGATATTTATACCTTGCATAAGATGGTAAGATTGATTTGTACTTGTTTCATTGATTTCCATTGATTTTTATTCCTTGCAGATTCGTTGTTTTCTGACAATTGACAAGTTGATTTTGGGTGCTGAAGAAGATGAATTTTAAAGGTAATAGCCTGAAGGGTTTAGTTCTATTTGCTGTGAAATATAATCTCCCGAAAACAAGTACATCATTTAATTTAATATTTCACTTCTATTTTCGGTGAAATCATCGCATATCCATTTAATCATTTAAAGGATATTTCAAAAAATGTCCTCGATTATTCATACATACACGGTTCAAGCCAGATATTTTCAATGATTTAACTATTCCCGCAAGCCCAATTTTTCCCAAAACATCACATCAGTGAATGTTACGGAACATTACTTAATTGGTTGACAAGTAGATCCCTTTGTGTCTTTCGAAAAAATCCATTAAGCGTTTTTCGTCAGCGAACTACCATTTCAGAATTACATAATTACTAAATGATTTTATTGCACACGATTGTATAAATCTTATATTTCATTCCAAAAAGCTTGATAAGGGGGGACCCTGGTGAAATTTGAAAGTTTTCGGTTGATGGAAATCACGATCTGAAAAATGTTTCTTCTGAAAACACCTTTTATATATTATTTTCATGTTCAGCTACTCAGAATATTTTTTATACGGTATGAAAAAAGTTTTAAAAAAATAGTAAAGGGAAACAATTCAATTTTTTTATGATGCAATTGTGATAATCGAAAGAAAAATCTAGTTTTATTCTATGGAATCTAACGAACATTTTGAAGAAAGAAAACTTCGAATCGGATGAAAATTTCGGTGCGAGGAGAATTCCAAATTTTCAAAATTTCAAAAATTGTTCGTTTTTCAGACGAAAATGTTATGCACAGAAATCTCAAAATTTTACTATGGGATCCATCCGGAAAAAAATCCGCTGTATAGGGGATGAAATATTATAAATATTTCATTAGTAATTCATTTTGTACACAACGTCATTGATTTTATAAAAAATGTTTTGAAATTTACGAAAAAGTGCCGCCGTGCTCAATCCGTAATAAAGACCACAACTCGGCATGGACTTTATTACGGGTTGAGCGTTCGGACCATTGAAATTATTTCCAGATGTGCATTTTTCATCTCTGTCAGGGACGGCAATAAGCATTAAATCTTTCAGGGCACCCTTTGATGTACTCTCAAGGTCCAGAAAATTCTTCTCACAAGAAAATCAATTTAGAATATGAAGTATTACATTATTATTATTGTTTTTATTACATAATTTTTCTGTGAAAAAAAATTTCTGGGCCTTGAGGGTACACCCAAGTAGGCCCAAAGTGATTCAATGCATGCTGCCCTGAGGGAGGTGACAAACGAACATGTGGAAACAATTTTAAGGGACCAAACGGTTGACCCGTAATAAAGTTCATAACAAGTTGCAGTGGTACATCGTCACTTTTCCATAAATTTGAAAATATTTTTTATAAAATCAATGACACGATACGACATGATACGTTTCCCGCACCGTTGTCATGGTGTGACATGATATGTTTTATGTACAGAAGTAATTTTCCGTACTAACCTTCACTTTTTCTCGTCCGGGGATTGGTATTGGCCTTTCCGCAAACTCGTAAAAATGAAAATCACTACGGAAAAATATCATTCACGACCAGTGTCATCAGGGTTTTTTTACTCGCGTGGTTGGCCAGCCCTCGCCTTGGGCTCGGACTAAAAAACCCCATGGCACTCGCCCTGAAATATACCATATCAATGAAAATTCTATAATATTTCATGCTTTTTACAGTAAGATTTTTTCCGGACAGATACCACTCTAAAATTCTGATAAGGTAAGATAACCGTGCATGACGTTTTCGCATAAACAATAAACAATTTTTCAAATTTTTTCTTCATGAGTATACTTTTGACTATTGTTGCAATCACAAAAAAAATCAGCATATTTTTCCCAGAAAAAGTAAAGGTTATGAATTTTTCCGGCCCCCTAAATTCGGGCGTTTTTTCAACTTTACATTACGATATAATTAACATTAATGAATTTGAGAAGCTGAGGCTCTGTAAACGATACGATGAATAATTAATTCATCAATTAAAATTTGTTTCATACTTCTACGATTTTTTTAACCAAAGTTATGCGTGTTTAACCCCACGGTTCTCTACTTCTGAAATGGATAATATAGGATCCCCCCCTTAACGGACAATATTTCCCTAACAGTAATATATAAGTTCGATGTTGAAATATATATGAGCGAATCCGCTATTTCTGTATGAAAAAAATTGCCTCAAAAGTGTTTTAAAATATTTTATCAAAAAGTATAGTCCAACAGAGACCAAACAGGAGCCCGAACTTTTCTGTCGGAATTTCTTAAGGCATGTGATCGTTACTTGATGCGTTATTTGTCTTTTTCATTTTTTATTTTTACCAATTCCATTGGTAGTAAGCTTCCAAATGAATCCGTAGAAATTTCATTTTTTAATTGAAAAAAAAAATATTTTTTCTTGAAGAAATCTGATCCTCGAAACGTTTGCCCTTCTAAAATTGGCATAGGGACATCCACACGACCCCATTTTGAAGAAATGCTTTTATGTGAAAATCAATAATAGAACAACTATATGTAATTTTATGCGAAATACGTTTTTTACATCCACTGCTCTATTTCAAAAAGTATTGAATCGATCAATCTGAAATTTTACACAGGAATGCAACTTGATGATACTAACTAGTCCTCAACATTTTATAACTTTACTACAACTTTCACTCATGTAATGGAACGTCAAAGCAACTTTTAGACAAAAAAAATCGAAAAACGCCAATATCTCTTACCGTGAGGGCGTCAGTTCTCGGACGGTTAAGGGTAACTCGACCATCAATAACCGATTCTTCGTTTTTTTTTCGTCAAATATAAAGTTTGCGGTTTCCATAGTCATTTTTGATGTTTTTGGGACATGCACACGTTGCATTTTTATTAAAAAACTTCGGAATTCGATCAATATTTGTTAAAACAAAACACAGCTCCCCGGATTCAGTTCTCGGACGCCAAAAATTGACCTACTTCAGTTCTCGGACGACATGAATTCAGTTCTCGGACGAAGTGAATGAGAGGGGTTTGGGAGAAGGAAAAATATAGGAAATCAATTGTAAAAAATATTTTTGACAGATCTATTCTCATTCCAATAGCCATAAACTTATTACACACTAAATGATAACCATGAATAACCATTACTATTATGAATTAAGTGTAATTGAGCCCAGAGATTTCATCAGTTTGTGAACGGAATTCTGCAATTAATCCTTAGTGACGGCAAACCCCCTATCAGCCATTTAACAAATCCATTCTACCAGTTTCTTCTCATAAAATTCTCCCATAATACACTTAGGGCCAGGTCTGTTGATCCCAGCTTTTTGTCTTGTCATTTGCTTTGTCGTATAAGGTTGACTTAGGGATATTATATTCTTCGCTGACTGATCCCAAACATCTTCCTGTTCTGATCGCCGTCAGAGCACTTTCGAACTGCTCAGGAGTGCTTTTGAGTTTCTAGGTCGCGAAAGCATCGCAGGCCTGAAAGAGTCGAAGAATCGATGTTTTTTTTTATTATTCTTAGGAATCATTTTTTTTTTTT